CAACAAAGCCCTTGATCAGTTTCACACGTTGCTCAAAAGTCACCTGGCACCCGCTGTCAGAAGAAACTTTAACGTTCCGTGAAAGAAAACATTTGCTTTCTGCTTTTTATTATAATTAAAAAAATGCTCAGTATGTTTCTGTGACGCATGAGACAGATCATTACACCACCCATCACATGAGGACTTCAGTTTTCTGGTAACAAGAAAAATACATCAGATTATCATGTTGGTTGTGGTGTTTGCTGAGCGTAGTGTAATGATTATAATCCAGTAACTCCATGGTTTGAAACCCTCCAGTGTGCAGGAGTCAGGTCATACAAAACACAATGGATTATTTCTACAGTCACAAGAGATGTGCATTCAGAGCCCAGAAGCCAAAGGCTGTTAGTTCATGGAAATCAGAAACCTGAAGCAGAACACAGTGGGCTAATCTGTATTATCCCTTAATTGCGCCCCTGAGACATGCTGCTGAGACTCTGTGTGACAGTCAAGTGGGTGGTGGCATCTTCTGGGTTATACATGAGAAAGTGAGGACAAGGTGTTAAGAAACAAGAATGTTGTTGATTGAAGTTGAGAGTTGAGATGTATCCTTAAGAGCATCCTCTAGTTCTGTCTCCCCATGTGTGTAGAGAGCAGCAGCAGATCACCACCACAGAGTCTAAGGAGCACAGCTGAAACCATATCTTGTTCTTGTTTTTCACGTCAGTGGTATTGCTTGATGGCAGTGGTCGCTCTCAGCAGGATAATGCTCCGCGCCACAGTGCAAATATTATTCAGGACTGGTCTGAGGGACTCATCTGTGGGATGTACAGGAAAGACAGAGGTCCCGTGGTTACAACTATCAGGACTTAATGGATGCCTAATTAATGCTGACATCTTCGTGTCAGATGCAGTGCCTATAAAAAGTGTTCACCAACTTGGATGTTTTACCCTTTTATTGATGCCCCTCCTGGGTTTTCCTTCTGGGCTACCTGTGACTCTCACATGGACATCGACACCTACGCTTCCCCTGTGCTGGACTTTAACACTGCCACTGACAGTGTCACAACCCAGAAACAGATCACCACGTACCCAAATCAGAAGCCATGGATGAACAAGGAGGTGCGGCTCCTGCTGGAGGAGCATCTCTGCCTTCAGATCTGATGGGGCCTTTTGTGTACATAGAACAAGTCGTAGATCTTTGAGTTCAACTCATGAAAAATGGGGGCAAACACAAAAGTGTTGCATTTATAATTTTGTTCAGTGTATGTGTATGTGGAAGAGCATCCAGGTCATCAGTGACTACAAGCCCGGCAACTCCACCTCAACATCCACAAATGTCTCCTTCCTGAACGAGCTAAATGACTTCTATGCTCTCTTTGACCGGGACAACAAAGATACAGCTATCAAGTCCAGACCCTCCGGAGACCACCAGCCACTCACACTCACCTCCACTGCTGTGTATGCTGCACTGAGCTGGATCAACACATGCAAGGCTGCTGGCCCTGATGTCATTCCTGGACGCGTGCTCAGGGCATATGCAGGACAGCTTGCCGGCGTCTTTACAGACATTTTTAACCTGTCCCTCGCCCAAGCAGTTGTGCCGACATGCTTAAAAACTACCTCCATCGTGCCAGTGCTGAAACATTCCACCCAACATGCCTGAATGACTACCACCCTGTAGCACTCACACCCATTGTCATGAAGTGCTTCAAACAACTGATGACCTGTCTCCCACCCACACTGGACCCCCACCAATTTGCCTACTACAGGAATAGGAGGACAGAGGACACAGTCTCCAAAGCACTGCACTCTGTACTCAGACATCTGGACAATAACAATACTTGCATAAGAATGCTGTTTGTGGACTTCAGCTCAGCATTTAACACAGTCATCCACCCCAAATTAACCACCAAATTGGAGAGCTGGGCATCAGCACCTCCCTCTGCAACTGGATTCTGGACTTTCTGACCAACGGGCCTCAGCATGTTAGGTCCAACAACACCTGCTCCTCCACCATTATCCTCAACACCGGCATACCACAGGGCTGTGTGCTGAGTCTATTCCTCTAGTCCCTTTTCACCCATGACTGTAGGCCTGTGCATGGCTCCAACACCATCATCAAGTTTTGCAGACGACACCACGGTGATCGGCCTCATCAGCAACAACGATGAGTCAGCCTAAAGGGAGGAGGTACAGCACCTGACTGTGTGGTGTGCTGACAATAACCTGATCCTTAACACTAACAAGACCAAGGAGCTCACTGTGGACTACAGGAGGGAGAAAGGAGGCACACACGACCCCATTCATATTAACAGGATGGATGTTGAATGTGTCTCCAGCTTCAAATTCCTGGGAATCCACATTTCAGAGGATCTGTCCTGAACCACCAACACCTACAGCCTGGTTAAGAAGGCCCACCAGCGCCTCTTCTTCCTGAGGACACTGAAGAAGAACCACCTGTCTTCAGCCATCCTGATGAATTTCTGTGAACTCTTGTGCCATTGAGAGCATCCTGACCAGCTGGAGTATGGAAACTACGCTGTATCCGACCGCAAGGCGCTGCGCCAGGTGGTGAAAACTGCCCAATATATCATAAGGACTCCACTTCCAGCCATTGAGGGCGTCCACAGGGAGCGCTGTCTCTGACATGCTCGCAGCATTCTCCAGGACTCCTCTCAACCTGCTCACAAACTGTTTGACCTCCTGCCCTCTGGGCAGCACCTCAGGAGCCTCTGGACCAAGACCAGTAGACTCAGGAACAGCTTCTTCCCCACAGCTGTCTCCTTACTGAACTCTGTCCCCCATTGACCCCCCACTGCCTTCCTCTATACCACTACACATACCTCACCCCTTCTCATCTCTCCTCCTGAGACTAATGCAATACACTTCTGTTACCTGTAACACTGAAGTGATCTTAATTCTCACATATTCACAGAAAACTGCTCTGTATTCATTTGCACACTGTTCATATGCTGATACAGTATATTTATCTTTTCACCATTTACATTCATTCATGTAACTTCTATAGTATTGATGGTTTCTATAATTGCAACGTGATAGTGGTGGTATTAAGAGGTGAATTAAGTCGGGTAAGTCCCCACTGAAGGCCCAGGTACCAAATGCACCGCCGCCACTGACTGCAGGTAATTTTACCTCTGCACCAGCAGAGATGAGCTCTTTCATCACATCACTCCTTTCATTCATGGCAGCAGTTTAAGGCGGTGTGACGCAGTAGTTGGGACGCCATTTGTTTGGATTAGCTTTTGCTTCAAGCAGTATCTTCACAAAAACTAAGGGAGCTTTGCTTATTGAGACATAATGCAACAGTGTACAGCCTTTTTGTGAATGAATGTTTGGGTCTGCACCTTGTTGCAGTAGGAAATTAAAATTCTTCTCCTCATGATTTATGACAGCAGCGATCAGTGGCGTGATATAATCATTACACTCTCTGCATGGGTACAGACCATTAATGTCATTGGTCTGCAATAATGCCCCTAGTCTACTACGGTTATTTTCAATTATATACTGTATTACAGGATGGGTGGAGGTGACTGGAAACTGTGTGATATATTCATCTCAGTGCTTCAGATTACCTGGGGAAAGACAACATGACCATATTATTGCAAAATATATATTGCATATTATTGCAGCAAAATTTGTGCCACTTTAAAATTTAGACAAGCAGCCAAACGTGAGCTTTTCAACACTTTCAGAAGCTCAATCAAAATTAAACCTATTTAATTAACCCTATTTAAGTGAGCCCAAAGGTGGCACCTAAAATACATTTACACAGCTTGATACAGTGTTCAACTAGATCTGTGATTCACAAACACCTCAGCTAAGTTTCCACTTGTCTGTGTGCTCTCTAGGTGATGTGGCGTGGCAATAACACCCAGGTAGTGTTATAGCCCATCTGTATCACCTGTGTGCAATACGGATGCAAAGAATATGAGTGGAGTACCTGGTTAAATTGTCTGAATGATTTTTTTTTAAATCTGTGTGCATAATTTGGGCTGGGTTTGAAACATAAGACAATAAACAGAGTGCCATGGCATTCAGATTTGGCGGGAAAGTGCCAAAAGGCGGAGTAATGGTCCTGAGAAATGCCAAACTGCAATATTTTATCTTTCAAAATTGTAGAAAGCTGCAGCAAATATCTTCATTACATTAAATAAAACCTGCCCACAGCAGCATTCTTCTTTTACAAAATGTATTTTTCAAATTAAAGTCAGATATTTATGGTCTACAAGTTCTTTACATACCTATGTTTGTCCTTTCTGAAACAGAGCTGAGCCATGGAGTGGCTTAAAGAGGTCTACCTCACAAGAAATCTTCCTTAAAGCGGTCAGCTCCCTCCCATCACACCCTAACACACACAGACAAAAGCATATGTCGTCAGGGTTTGGCAGTACAGCTACCCACAATGTTAATGGTGGACTCAATTATAAAGCCAGGCGAGATAGAGTAAATAATATCACTTTACTCCACTCACTCAGAAAAAAACACAGTGACAGTTCAGAAACCATAATCCAAGTCACACAACAGTCCAGGGTCAATACCAGCAAACGAACACAGCCAAGGGATCCAAAACAGGAGGTCAAAGAAGCTGGTCCAGGAGTAGGTACACAGAATAAACATAGAACAATCAGGAGGGCTAGGCAGAAATCAGTGGTCAGGAAACAATTCAGGGTCAAGAACATGAATCACTAAAACAAGTATAACACTGGAAAGTCTGCACAAAGTCAAGAACAATCTAGCAGGTTACTGGTGGGAGAAGGCTGCTTATAATGGGGTGAAAACAGGTGTGGGCAATGAGCACTGATTACAATAAAGAGTCCATAACAGAGATGAACCTAGAACAGGAAGTGGCAACAAAATAAGAGCCTGAAACAGGAAGCAGTGGGACAAAACCCTGGCATATGTGTTATACACTAAATATAATGTTTAATTTACAAAGATATTTCTCATGACAATATAAATTCATTTCACCATAGATAGTGCTTACCTCCTGTACTCATTAAGCACTAAGTTGCGGAAGATGTCTTTGCTCACAGTGTTGAAGGATTCAATTAATTCAAAGGGCTCAGCCTGAGGGAATTAATAATATAAAAACATCAGTCAAAGTCAAAGTTAAAAAAGTCTAAGTGTTCATTTGTCATATGCACAGTTATGAAACGTGTTTCCCTGTACAATGAAATTCTTACTTTGCCGTCCACATGAATGCCACAAAATACAAATGAAATATAGCGTAGATAAATAAGTAACACAACATCTAAGGCACTTTAAGCAGCAAGAAAATGCAGCAATATAATAAAAATATATAAGAATACAATAAGTCAGTGTTATTGAACCGCCACCTTATTGTGGTGGAGGGGTTTGAGTACCCGAGTGATCCTAGGAGCTATGTTGTTGGGGGCTATATGCCCCTGGTAGGGTCTCCCAAGGCAAACAGGTCCTAGGTAATGGGTCAGACTAAGAGCAGTTCAAAACCCCTCATGAAAAATTAAAATCAAGGACCATGGCGTCGCCCAGTATGGTGCAACCGGGGCCCCACCCTGGAGCCAGGCCTGGGGTTGGGGCCGAATGCGAGCGCCTGGTGACCAGGCCTTTTCCCACGGGGCCCGGCCAGGCTTAGCCTGAACGAGCAACGTGGGGACGTCCTCCCGTGGGCCCACCACCTGCAGGAGGATTTGTAAGGGGCTGGTGCACAGTGGATCGGGCAGCAGTCGAAGGCAGGGGCCCCGACGACCCGATCTCTGGACACGGAGATTAGCCCTGGGGACATGGAATGTCACCTCGCTGGTGGGGAAGGAGCCCGAGTTTGTGCAGGAGGTTGAGAGGTACCAGCTAGATATAGTCGGGGGAGGAAGCTGGACAGACTCGGCAGACCCAAACGTATTGTGAGGGTCTGTTGGGAACGTTTAGCAGAATCTCCTGTCAGAGAGATCTTCAACTCCCGCCTCCGGCAGAGCTTTGACCAGATCCCAGTGGAAGCTGGAGATATTGAGTCCGAGTGGACCATATTCTCCACCTTCATTGTAGATGCGGCCGTTCAAAGCTGTGGCCGTAAGGTCTCCGGTGCCTGCTGTGGTGGCAATCCCCGAACCCGGCGGTGGACACCGGAAGTAAGGGACAGGGTTCTGTTACTGGACTTCTGTGCTAATCACAGTTTGCCCATAACGAACACCATGTTCAAGCATAAGGGTGTCCACCACTGCACGTGGCGCCAGGACACCCTAGGCAAGAGGTCGATGATTGACTTTGTGGTTGTTTCATCTGACCTCTGGCTGTATGTCTTGAACACTCGGGTGAAGAGAGGGGCGGAGCTGTCAACTAATCATGACCTGGTGGTGAGTTGGATCCGATGGCGGGGGAGAATGCTGGACAGACTCGGCAGACCCAAACGTATTGTGAGGGTCTGTTGGGAACATTTGGCAGAACCCCCTGTCTAGCCCCCTGTGTTGGGCCTATTTATCGCATACCAGGGATCATGGATCAGTTTGCATATGTCAAAATACTTGAAGAGGTCATGTTGCCTTATGCTGAAGAGGACATGCCCTTGAAATGGTTGTTTCAACAAGACAATGACCCCAAACACACTAGTAAACGAGCAAAGTCTTGGTTCCAAACCAACAAAATTAATGTTATGGAGTGGCCAGCCCAATCCCCGGACCTTAATCCAATCGAGAACTTGTGGGGTGATATCAAAAATGCTGTTTCTGAAGCAAAACCAAGAAATGTAAATGAATTGTGGAATGTTGTTAAAGAATCATGGAGTGGAATAACAGCTGAAAGGTGCCACAAGTTAGTTGACTCCATGCCACACAGATGTGAAGCAGTTATAAAAAACTGTGGTCATACAACTAAATATTAGTTTAGTGATTCACAGGATTGCTAAATCCTAGAAACAAAAACGTTTGTACAAAATAGTTTTGTGTTTGTACAGTCAACGGCAGACACTGCTATTTTTTTTAACACACCCCTTTCAACTAATTGCCCAATTGCACAGCCTTAAGAGCGTGCCACTCCTGTACCTTCATCACTCTGAAACTATGAACAACAGATATATGCATAATTTTAATTCTAGTTATTTACTTCTCAGAATCAAATTAGCAAAACAAGACATAATACAGCATAAGACATAAATCCTTGTGGGAAATTCACAAGCTATAAAGCAGTAATGGAAATTATAAGTATGTGAAGCAGCTAGTTAATAAACTAGACGATAAACCTCACGGTAATAGACACATACGGAAGCCTTATTAATATTCATACTTAAACTTCACTACATTTAGAGGTAGGCTAAATATTGTGCTTTTCACTGCACTACACCTCAGCTTGTGATACTGAGCTTATTAAAATCATCGATGCTGAGAATATCTGTGGTGATGACATCTACAGGTGAGTAATTTATACTGTGTTTGAGAGCGACAGCTGATCAACCCACACAATCTATACATTTATATCATTTTGTGTGGACAGTGTGATTTGTGTGGACAGTGTGATTCCCATTACAGTTGCATATGTGTACCTTTTTTTGCAGTAAATAAACACTTGAGCTTCTGCTGGGAGTTTTATTGTATTTGTCAGCTTACCCACTTGACTGCTGGGGGCTCCAGTGGGGCTCTGGAGGAGACGAGGGCTGCTGCAGCTCGTGGACTGGCTCTGGAGGCTCATCTACCATGCCCACATGCACAGCACCTGCAAAAACACAGGTCTCAGTGGTCCTGAGCTATGTTAAAACAAGTGTTAGATAATATCACAAGAACTGAAGTTGAACTGACAAACCAGGATTTAAGGTTAATAAATCAAAACATGGACATAGAGCAACATCAGTTGTGTGTTCCTCACCTATGGGTCCGTTCCTAAATCTAAACTATGTTCTGTAGAAAACATTGAGATTTCAGTTGCCTGCATTAAAGCCAGCACATCTGGATTATTATTATTATTACTGGCCCAACAGGGCCACCTCAGACGCCATCACGGCTGCCCTCCACTATGCCCTTTCTCACCTGGAAAATGGAGACTCCTACATCAGGATACTTTTCATTGACTAGCAGGTTGCACAGGATCTGCAGGAGGCATGGACATAAATGCCCACACACAAAGGTATATTCTCCTCCCCTTCCAGGTTCATACGACCTTAAATTGCAGGTACCTCAAAACTTTAGATGGAAATAGTGTACTTTTACTAAACTAGCTTTTACTCTCCTTTTATCTTACAGCTGTTTAGACCAACTTCTAAAATATTCAAAATAGTAGTCTAGCAATTAAATGGAAACTCTCCAACAGTAGCTTTCCATATATTCTCTTGCATAATGAGTACTTTTACCATATGTGTTTAGACACGTCTGACTGCATTTTGTTTTCATTTCATAATTTAGCCTGCACCTGTTTTCTTTAATTAGTGTATTGGTTTTGGATTGTGTGCGTCATTACTGAGGCTTTGGCCTCCTCTGGTGGTGGTTGTTAACACCGTGTTTACCAAACCTTATCTCTCTCCTGCTCCATGCGTTGACAGTGCCATGTTGTCGTTTGCATGATGTTGTAGAGTTGCTTTTTGAAATGGCACGAAGCTGGAACAGGTAAAAAGGACAAACCTCTATGGAAGATAACAAGCACATCTAAAGGTTTTCGCAAACTAGACGATAAACCTCACGGTAATGGACACATACGGAAGCCTTATTAAGGTCGTATGAGCCTGGAAGGGGAGGAGAATATACCTTTGCAAGGGGGATTTATGTCCATGCCTCCTGTAGATCCTGTGCAACCTGCTAGCAGTTGATGGTGTCAATGATCCAGATGTGCTGGCTTTAATGCAGGCGACTGAAATCTCCATGTGACATAATACAGCATAAGACATAAATCCTTGTGGGAAATTCACAAGCTATAAAGCAGTAATGGAAATTATAAGTATGTGAAGCAGCTAGTTAACATTAACTCCACCTTTACTGTCTGTTTCTCTCATGCAAACAACTTGGCATCTTTGGATTGGGGAGGAAGGCACAGTATTCAGAGAAAATGCAGACACACACACACAAAGGCACCAGTCAGCAGTGAAGTTCAGATGTGGTACCTTCTTGCTGGGAAGCAGCAGTGCTAACCACTTAATCACCATGTCAGCAGATCACTCTGCAGTGCAGACTAAAACCACTTACGGTACTGTTCACGCAGCGGTGAGGTGAGTACAGCTATGCTCAGACATAAACGCGGTCACTCAGATTGAGGCTATTCTGTTTTTGTTTTCTATTCAGTTTTTATAAAAATTAACCAAACACATTTTTGCCTTGTGCATTCTTCTCAGTACTCACATACTTGCAGAAACAAATGTTTACTACAAACAAACATTTATTTAGCAGTAGCAGGCAGCATTTCAGCTGAAGTACTTCAACCCGTTGACAAGCCACTGAGTTGTTGAATCCTCTACAAGAACAAGTTTTTTCCCACTATCAATGAGAAATGTGCAGGGATGGATGTGCAGACATGATCCCATAAATATGATGCTTATATTCCTCACATGCTCCCAGGAGGCAGAGTAGTACATCTGACCAGGAAAGGGTTTTGTCTCCTTTTTGTCAAAGTAGGACATCTTATTTAGATAAGACTGGGAAGCTGCTACCAACTACAATAAGGTGCATATTGTATTGTCAGGTCCGCTCAGTGCGGCCTGCCTCTTTTCCTCCATTCTCTCTCTCAACCTGCAGGATCGGCACCTCAGCTGTGTTACATTCGGTAATGAGTGACTCGTTTGTCAGTGCGCACAGCTGAGGTGCAGTCCTATGATTACCTGCTCCTTTATCCTCTAACTCTCCTGGTTCCTGCTGTTGTTCTGTCTACTCATCTCCTCAACCATCTCTGTCTGACACCAGGTAATAATTAATTCACAAGTTCACATTTAGCTTTCTTTCAAAAACTACACAACATCAACATGTTTCCTTGAACTCCTCACTCACCCCTCTGAGGTTAGTTTCAAAGGCTTTTCCTACACTCTCTCTCCTCTGTTCATTACACTGGCTTTATTTCAACACAGTGGTATCTGGAGAAAATTGAGGGCAGGGGACACTTCAGTTACTTTCCCATTCAATTTAATGGGAAAGCGTCCTAACATTTGACTAGCAGTGTAGCTGTACCAAGTCTAACATTAGCATGCTAAAATGCTGGCAGACAATGCCAATAGGCTGCCGATTAGCAGGCACTGATGCAAATGTCAGGTTTGCAGGCATTTGGTCATAAAGCTAAGTGATTAGAATTTATCCTCTAGCGCCATGAATGTCTAATAAAAGCTTATGGCAATCCATGTGAGCAGAGAACGCAAGTATCAGATACTTCTATTCATCAAGCAAGTTTTAGGCAATTTCTTCAAACTCTGGCATGTTACTTTGTTCTTACTTTATAAATATGACATCAATGACAGTGTAGCAGAAGACTAATCTAAATGTTGATATCCACTATGTGTAGACACTGGAAAGGCAAAGGGTTAGATTGATTTATTTTTGGGCAAGGATTAAAATTCATCTATTAAACTTTTACAGACTGTATGGAGAGTAAGGCATAATGGCAACGTGGCAGCCAGTGTCATTCACTGAGTTTAGAAAGATTTGAAAGCACACTGGCTCATATTGATTCAAAGATTCTGGGGTTCACTGGTGAATTGACTAGAAAGAAAAAAAGACAAAGTACATAAACAGAATGTGTAAGTGCAGAACATCCTTGCTCTCATGCTGGTGTTGTCCCCTCATTTTCCCCTCTGTTACTAAACCATTCTTCTGCGCTTGTTAGCATCCCCGGGCTTCTCAAAGTACATGAAATCCTGCAAAGTGACAACAAAAACAAATCATTCAACAACTTCCCATAAAGTAAAATCAGAGTTCTTCAGAAAGATTAAGGACGTACAATGAGGATGCAAACTCCCATGAGCACAGCCTTCATCTTCACGTCCAAGTCAAGAGGAAACTGGATGCCAAAGTTGTCCGCATCGGTCAGGACTTCCTTCCAGTAGCCGCCCCACTGCTTGGTGATGCGTCCGATGGGCTCGTCAACATATTTTCCCTTCAGCTACAGCAATAAAAACAATAGGGTTGGGCCCAAGTTGTTAAGCTTCACTAAGAGGCTGTGAGGACGCTGAACGCTGTCCATTACCTCCCCCCTCTGCCCCCTGTCCCTGGACTGTGACCCACCACAGAACCTTGTTATATTACATGTAAATCTGCTGCTGACTTTTTACCATCACATCTGCTGCTGTTGGTCATTTGCACTACTGTCCATCTCAATCTCACAAACATCTGACAATCTTCTTATCTGCTTACTGTCACTCATTGTACAGGGTTTGAGTCATAGCCTATTAGGTTGTACCATTTATCCTAATCACTTTGATTTAGTTTTCTTATTCTTTTATAGTCTATTTTTACTTTACTTTTATTCTATTTTAGTTTCTTAAATGGTATGGCATTCAATACTAGGTGAGAGAGATGGTCGTTTGATTTTCTGAATGTCCTGCACATATAGTGACAATAAAAATCTTTAATCTTGAGGCTAAACCCAGCTGTCTGTTAGTTTAGCATAAAGACTGGGGGGGGGACAGCCTGTCCAAAAAAACTACAAAGTACTTTAACAATCAACAACTAGCTCCTTTGTTTAATCCCTACAAAAGGCATCCTCCATCCATGTACTACCATCTTCTGTGACACACCTCAAAGTTGACGTCCCCATAGTAGTTGCAGGCAAAGCAGGGTCCCTCCAGTTTCAGCACCGTGTATTTGTTTGGTCCCTGGATTTCAAGCCGTGGCAGGAAAGGGTGCCAGGTTTGTCTGACGTAGCCTATGGTGGTGCCTGGCGGGGCCTGAACCTCCAACTGTGGGTCACAGTGTAAAAACAAGATGTCACAGATTTAGAAAGCTCTTCCACAGAGTTTTAAAATGTGCTCCCCTGCCTTTACAGCATTTCACATGGGACGGCAGGAACAACGCAGGAGACTGATTGCTCCATTGTGGCATCACATGATAAAAGAAATACTGTACATCACACTTGGCTCCTGTCCACTCAGTAAAGGGGGGGGGGGGGATATACAGGAAGTTGTGTCAAAATAAAAGCAGGAGACCGGAAAGAGGTGGGAACATGACACACTTCTTATAACCTAGGGTGGCAGGCTGGTTGGTTTTGCACTTGTGTGTCCTGTTTGTTTGCCCAACTCTGTTAAAGTGTAAAGTCCAGTCATTCCTAACTGATTCTGCAAGATGTATCCAGGACTGTCTCAGTCCTAAACAGGGCTGGTATTGTCTTTGTCAGGCAGTATTTGCAAATTGTTCAGTGTTTTTCATTTCCGACTGTGTCATTTCTTAAAACAGGAAAGCTGAAGATAATGAAGATAGGATAAGATGGGTAAAAACTATTCTTGAATCTAACAGTCCTTGATTTGATTGCTCTGAACCGTCTACCTGATGGCAGCAGGTCAAAGAGTGAACGTCCTGGGTGTGAAGTGTCTTAAATGATGTTCTGGGCGTTTTTGAGGCGGAGGGAACTGTGTAGTTCTTCCAGAGTGAGGAGAGGTCATCTGACGACCTCCTGGGTCCTATTAATGACCCTCTGGAGCGTTTTCCTCTGAGCCACTGTGCTGCTGCTGTACCATACACATATACAGTATGTAAGGATGCTCTCAGTGGAGCACCGATAGAAGGACACCAGCAGTCTCTCAGAGATGTTCTTCCTGAGCACCCATAGGAAGTACAGATGCTGCTACATAACAGCATTACAAGTCGACGATGGGTCACCCACTATGCGAGTTTAAAATTCTGCAAACTGAACGCAGTGAAATAGCCATATGTCATATCCTGGTAGATACGTACTTTGCACTCCCACGATGGCATCAAGAAGTTTTTCTGTTGTGATCTTGGGAAGTTACAAATGTCATTACATCCCTAGAGTGAACATGGAATAAAAACAGAAGGGCTGTAGACAGCAGTGTCATGGAGGGGGGTAGTGTAGCTGACACCGTTTCCTGTCACATTTTCACCCGATTTATCAGACAGTTGTAAACCCACAGCTTTGGCAAACTAACTGTTAAATCTTGTGACTCGCCATCTCCATAACGGCAATCTGTGTTTAAACATTAACTTTAATAATGGTACACAGTACCTTTGTACACTAAGAGCAAATATTCTAACATATGAGGGTGTTTATTCATAACTGGAGTGAGTGTTCAGGGTGATGTAGTGTTGAATGAACAGCTGTTAAACTATTGGATATGAGGCTATTAGTTGTTACAGCTGATGCACATTAAACACACATTAAACACACCTCTTGCAGGCAGCAGGGACAACAGCAGCAGACGCAGCGGTAAGGCCTAATGAGGCGGATGACCTCTCTGTCCATGTTGTCCGTGATATCCACCTCGAAGCTACGCAGAGGGCCACAGCAGTTCAGAGACCAGACGTCATTCTTCTCTTTGGCCTTGTAGATCTTCTGGCCCAAGCTGTTCTTTATGTCGTACTCGTTGTTGGTCTCAAATCCAGTTAATACTGGGTGTGGTTGGAGGGAGAGCGGAGGAAGGGGTGAATAACAAAGTACTGATAAGTAAAGAAATCCAAGCCATTTTATCAGCATGATTTATATTGAGAGGCTTGAAGTTAAAACTGTCAGACAGCTGCTGCTGATTATTTGGTGTTTACAAAGTGGCAAAAGTAAATATGACTGGATAAACAAGTAACACGTGTTACCTTCTAGGAGTTCCACTTTCTGGTGTATCAGGATCTGGTCAATCTAAAACCAAAAGAGAGAAAGTGATGTGAGAAAAACTGAAAAATGACAAAGGTGATGTCTACAGCTTATCACTGTAAAATATATCCATCCTCAAGCCTGAAGGTTTATTTCCTCTTAAAACAAGAGGAAAACTGCAAACGCAGAAGGGACAATTTCCTGTTTGCAATTCAAAGTACCTTTTCTGAATGCTGGAGTCTGGTTACCTGCAAATTCAAATCATTTCTTTTTTGTCTCAGTATATAGAGTAATTTGCTGGAAAGCCATGAAAGCAAGTCTTTAAGTTCTATTTGCTGTAAGGTGATCCTTTACCAAAACCAAAACATGACCAAGTGGTTGTTTTAAGAAAGAATGACGTTGGGTCTGATCTTTACAAGTTCCAAAGGGAGGAAGTTCTATTTGCCTTAAGGTGATCCACTACTACAGTGGCTGAAAAAAGTGTGGTGAACCAAGTTCCAGTTTATGAATGCTAAGGTGAATTTCACAGCACAGCGTATGATTTTACTTGAAAACCCACAAAGGTTTCCCGTGATGTTTGCACAACAATGAACCTGAAAGTGTTTCCTCTAAGTTGATATACCTGTGTACAATTCCATTTAGTTCACTCTGAACTTTAGCTTTCTCTCACAATAAGTCATCAACAGTAAGTTGAACAGTAAGACTTAGATCAACATAAAGACACCCCTTTAAAAAATCTTAAAACTTGAGAATAGCATTTGAAGTTACTTAACCCTTTACTCACCTTAAGGAAATTAATTTTCTTGGTTTTCTCTGACCTACCTGTGTGAGGTACTCGAGCCCTGGAGGCACCCCGTCAAGAGCCACAGCTGGAGCTCCAGCTGGAGGGCCACCATATTCCTGCCCTGAACCCACCGGTCCTGGCTGGTACATGACTGCAGGTTGGTTTGGACTGTAGCCCATATTGAAGTCCGGTGGAGGGTCCTGATTTGGGTCTCCGTACCCCGCCATAGGACCTGGATAAGGGGCTAATGGGTAGCTGCTGGGCTGAGGTGTGGGGTAAGGCGCCTTGTTGTCTGGGTAAGCTAAATAAAAGGTTTATATAAGTTCAAACATCAACCTCAACATGTTTACACTTTCATAATTAATAAAAAAGCTGTCTTTTTTCTTTTAAAAGCAGGTTTTCAATTTGAGTTGAATTCAATTGAGATTGCAATTGATTGCAATCCATGCTTTTATCACCTCCCGCCTATTGCAATGCTCTATACTATGGTGTTAACCAGTCCTCCCTCTCTCGTCTTCAGATGGTTCAAAACGCTGCTGCTCGTCTTCTGGAAATTACCAGAAAATTTGAGCATATAACCCTGGTTCTGGCTTCTCTCCAATGGCTTCCAGTCCATTTTAGAATTGATTTTATACTGTTAATTTTTGTTTTTAAGGCTCTTAATACTTTGGCTCCATCTTACCTCACTGAATTAGTGCATTGGCACAAAGCTACAAGGTCCCTCAGATTTGATTTGATTTGATTTATTTATTCTTTCAAACATGTAACAACAGTCAGTATGTAATCACACATAATTCCAGACATATCCACAAAAATATTTTCAATTTGCTTATACCTAGTACATGCTTGAACGGAGTAGGAAGAAGTTAGACTTATCTAGTCCTACCCCCTAACATCATCTTATCATCATTGGTTTGCAAGCAGTATTACTACATGGATACATATTCTACATCCACACTCCCATCTGATTAATCATTAAGCCTGTTCTTGCCCATATCTTGATTGACACATACCTTTATATCTGTGTTTAAACTCATCAAT